GACTCACACAGAAGCAGGGGGCCTTGCGGTGGGTGGGGGTGCCACGGCGCCCTAGGCCACAGGGCCAGGCAGGGCAGGGCCACCAACCCCCCAGGACCCTGGTTTTGCGGGGAAGCAGCCGGGGGACACTGAGTCCCAGCCAGCAGGGCCACTGCGGTTTCACTTTCTGCTGCGTCATGGGGTGGGGGGTGGCAGAGGGGCCCAGCTGGCCAGCTGGGGCCGGTACAGAGGCCCATGGACAGCTGCTGGCCCAGCTGCTGGCACACACCCCCTGCCCCTGCCTTGCAGCCTCAGGGTGGGGGCTGGGCCGTCGCAGCCCCTCCTCTGCCTTTCTGCCCACATCTGGAGAGGACCCCAGTTGAGAAAAGCCAGGACCAGGCAAGTGGTCCCTTGAGCGGGTGGGGACTCCCCCAAACCTGTCTTTAGGCCAGGCAGGCTTGAAACACGGGGACTGTGGCTGTGGGTTCTGAGTCGGCTCCTTGGCTGCTGCCTCCTGCCCGGGGCAGATCTGTTAAAGGCCTGCTGCTGCGTGCGGGCACTGGGCCAGGTGCTGGAGGTGGGGCAGGGGGCTCTGGGCCAGGTGCTGGAGGTGGGGCAGGGGTGTGACATAGCCCTTGCCCTCCCAGGGCTCTCCCTGAAACCAGGAGAGGTGGCACGAGAGCAGGCCAGGTAATGGACAGTCCCCCGTCACGGAGAAGATGCCACTCCGTGTCAGGCGTGTGTGCACCTGGTGTCAGCTCCCGGGACGCAGGGCCGGTCAAGAACGTAGCCCCCGGGAGCCAGCTGTCCCGTGTCTGAATCTGAGCGTGGCTGCTGACCGGCTGTGTGGCCTCTGGTGAGGGACATGTCTCTGTGCCTCGGTTTCTCTGTCTAGAATAATGGGGCACCCAGAGGGACACAGTGAGGAGGGAATGAACCCACATCTCTATAAAGAACTGAGAAGCAGTGACTCTCCTGCTGGGTCTTAGCTGTCCCCTGATAATCAAGGTGGACTGTTATTATAAAATGAACTGTGGTCACCACAGAGGCTGGGGACACCAGGAAGGTTGCCAAGCCTGTTTCCCAAGCTGTCGGTATGTCACCCAGCGGGGTCCGTCCACAGCGTCTGCAGGACAGTTGGAATCCCCAGGAGAACTGAAGGCCGTTACAGTCTGTGCTGCCCATTGGCTCCTTGCTCCCAAGAGAAGGCAGGCCTCGTGGCCGCAGAGGGTGGAGCCTGCATCTCCCTCCTGGCTCTGTCTCTGGGTCCTAGCGTGTATTAGGTGCTCAGTTAAGAGCTGTGAGCCAGAGCCGGTGAAGTGGAGGCTACTCCCAAACCACCCTCCTTCATCCACGCCTCTGGGAAAGCAGGTGGCCGTTGCCGTCTCAGTTCTGGCCACCCCCGCTGGCTCCTGGACAGCCCTGGGCATGCCGAGGCTCCCGTCTGTTAAGGTCCTCCCTGCCCGGGGCCTGTCCCAGCACCTTGCAGTGGGTGGCTGTCCCACAGGTGCTGATGGGAGCTTGAAGGCAACACAAGTACTTAAAGGCACACAGGCCAGAGTCCCAGGGACTCGTTACTGGGGAAGAGGCTGGGTGCCCAGCAGACGATCCTCAGGTCTCCATTCTGAGCCAGCTGGAGGTCAGGGCTCGGTTTCCTGGACTGTCTGTCAAATGAGAGGGTTTAAGGTAAGGATCCCTTTTCCTCTGAAATTGAAACTCAGCCACACTCTCAAAACTCCCAAGTGTCAATGATTCCAAGAAGCAAAGAACCGTCTCAAAAACCTCTCGGATAGTTATCATAATAACAAACGTCCTCACAGGCGTGATCCGTCACTTCAGATGACCACTTATGAAGTAAGTGTCACTCTTCGTGCTTTGCATGCCCCAAGCACTTTACGTGTGTGAAGTCATTTTAGTTTAACAGGGATGGGAGGTACTAACACTCGCCCCTGCTTACCGATAAGAGAATGGGCTCAGAGAGATGGCCAGACTTGTCCAAGTTCACACCTGGCATGGACAGGCTGGGGCTCCAGTCCAAATCTCCCATCTCAAGTGTCCATGACATTTTCTGAAAATGGCCATCCGGTAACTATTGGAGGCTTTGCAGACTGCCGCAGCCGCTCAACTCTGCCACAGTAACTCAAGCAGAGCCGCAGACAGTACAGAAGTGAATGGCTGTGGCCCGGGGTTCCAATAAAACTTTATTTATAAAAACAAGGAGTGGGCCGGAGGTGGCCGACAGGCCATGGTTGGTCCATCTCCGTTCGACACTGACAGCCTGCCTTTCAGTAAGACCAACGTGACTGGGCCCCTGCCATGTTCTCTCCTCACCTGTGAGGTGACTCAGAGTCACATTTCTGAGCAGATGGCCACTGTCTCTGGAGAGATTGAGTTGACTCTAGCTCCCTTGGGGAAATTCTAAGCAGAAGTCACACCTATTAGGACTTACTGGTGACCAACTGCTCTCCTAGAACACCCTGGGGGACTTACTCCAGTTCCCACAGTAATTTTTAAAGAGAAAAGTAAGGGTCGTAGTGGAAAGCCCTTCTTTGAATTGAGAATGAAAATAGAGAAAGAAAAATGTTTTCGGGTACAGAAAGCTCTCCAGGCAGGGGAAGTCAAGGGCACGTGCATGCAGGGAGAAGGAGGGTCCCGGGGCTGGAGGCCACAGCCAGAGGATGACTATTAGGAGATTCAGGGAACAGGGTGTCCCTTGTTGATAGCTTTATTGAGATATAATTCCCGGCACACCCATTCACGTTTTAGGTGTACAATTCAATGGCTTTGGGCATGCTCGATCACGCAAGCACGATCACAGTGAATTTTAGAACATTATCATCTCCTCACAAAGAAATCTGTGCCCTATAGCAGTCCACCCCCATCCCCCACATCCCCCAGCACCCCTGACCCTGGGCAATCACTAATCTACTTTCATTTCCATAGATTTGCCTTTTCTGGATATTTCATATAAGTGGAATCATATAATATGTGCTCCTTTGGGTCAGGCTCTCTTCTCATGGCATGACGGTCTCAAAAGCTCAGCCATGTTGTAGCACATGTCAGAACTTCATTCTTTTTTTTGTGGCTGAATAATATTCTATTGTATGGACATACCATAGCTTGTCTCTCCATTTGTCGATTGATAGACATAAAGGTTGTCTCCACGTTGGGTGATTATAAATAATATAACTGTGAACAGTTGTGTGTGTTTTGTGTGGGCACAGTCTTCATTCCTCTGGGGCATGGAGCTAGGGAGCGGACTTGCGAGGTCATGGGGCAACCCTGGGTTTGACATGTTGAGGAACTTCCAGGACCAGGTCCTTTCAACTGTGTTATGGAAGTTTCCCATCATATCTAAAAGTAGAGAAAATGTTGTCAGGTTCCCATCGTCCGGGGTGGGCGATGGTCATCCTTTTGCCTCGAGCGGGTCCCTTGTGGGTGGGACAGGAATCACCCTGAATGAGGCAGGACCAGGTATGTGATTTGGGGGAACCCAGGGTGAAAGGAGTATGCAGAGTTCTGGTTCAAACATTAAGAAGTTCAAGGTGGCCGTCGCCGAGCGGTAAGCCGGCACGACCCTGTGACTGCATGGGTTCCACGTCCTCCAAGCCAGCCCTGCCCCGGGCCAGCCCCAGGGGCCCAGCAGCCCTGATTCAGCAGGTGTGGGAATCTAGGCCCTCGGTGCCTGGAGACAGAAACCCCTCTCACCTCTAATCCCAGGAAAGCTTCCAAGGACTGCTGGGTCCCCTGTGGCATGTGGGACAAAATTGAAGGCCATTTCATTTGAATCTCCAAAGATAAGATGACCCCGGGTGACGTGCGGGTTCTAAGCACTTACAAAAAATATAAAGAAGTCACCATTTGTCCTAAGCCTGCTCCCCTAAGAGCTCGCGGCTGTTTTATTTGGCCCCACCATTTTGTCCTGGATTCTGAGTGTCCTCTGAGACCCCCACGGGTGACAGGGCTGCAGTGTGAAGGACAGGGACCCGCTGAGCAGCAGGCGGTCCAGAGGGGACCAGGGATGCCCAACAGAAGCAGGTGGCCATGACAGATGCCGGCAGCCCATCGTGACAGCGGATCTGGCATGAGCCCGTCATCCTCCTCCTCGGAGGACAGCCTCCACCCACCCCGTGAGCCTCACTTCCTGTGCCCACCTGGACCTCAGCCCCAGGATTCACAGTGTCCTCCACTCCGACACCCAGAGATTCAGAGCCCCCAAGTGTTGGGGTGCCCCCCAGGGTGCATCACAGCGGAAGCCTTGGCGGGAAGGGGTGCACGGCTCCCCCGGGAAGGAGCGAGGCCAGCAGAGGAAGCCTCGCAGCTCCTCCGGCCGCTGCAGGGTCTCGTGCACCTGTTGCGCTCCTCATGGCCTCCTGTGCCCGGTGACCCTGGAGGTGGACACCGGAGCCCGTTCCTCATCCACGAGCCAGACACCGTCCCTGCCCGTCCCCCCACCCCATTCTCCTGACAGCTGTGTGATAAACAGAAGTGGCATCGAGTCCCACTGCTCCGACTCAGAGTGGACAAGTGATTTTCTTTTAAGGCACCATTTTACGTTTTTTAATTATCCCCAAATTTAAAAGTTACGCCGCCCCATGGTTAAGGGAAATAGTACAAAAGAGAATAACGGGGGAAATAAACAGGCCCCTGTGCAATTTTCTCTCAACTCCAACCTCACTGAGAAGTAGCCACTGTGAGCAGTTTGCACAGTCTCCATGCATTTTGTAAGCATGGTCAGATGCGTGCCTTTTTTTTTTTTTTTTGCTCATAATGTGAAGAAGATTCAGCAGGGTGAGGAGGGGAGGCTGAGGCAGGAGGATCAAAAGTTAGAGGCCAGCCTCAGCAACTTAGCAAGACCTTAAGCAACTCAGGGAGAACTTATCTCAAAACCATTTTAAAAAGAGCTGGGGGTGTGGCTTAGTGGTTAAGGACCCCTGGGTTTAATTCCTGGTACCAAAAAAAAAAAAAAAAAAAAAAAAAAAAAGAGAGAGAGAGAGAGAGAGAGAGAGAGAGAGAGAAAAAAAAAAAAAAAACAAGATCAAGGAAGAGCAAGGGCATCTCAAACAAATCTGCAGACCACACAGCACTCAGCCCCACCTCATCCTTCTATCGGGGTCCAGCCTCCCACCACACTTGACCTGTCCCCTACTGGCTAACACTTGTGTTCGCTCCAGGATTTTGCTTTACCCAAATAGGATAAATTCCTAGAAGTGCAGTTTCTCTCTCAGAGAATATGTGCATTTGAAATCTACACTCTTGCCCAGTGTAGTTTTGAAAACACAGTAGCATTCTCGAGCCCCTGAACAAGTCACGTGGGGGGACCTGTTTCTGACACCCTTTCCTACCCCAGCAAGGATGCCGTGTGGCCGGAAGCCAAAAATTCCCAAAAAGGTAAGTTGAACTTTCTACTGTGTGGGCTGAGGTTGGGGGCGGACGTGGCCTCCGAGGTTGACCCCTGTAGCTTTCCTAGGAGAAGAGCCGTTGGGAGCGTTCGGTAGTTTTGGGTTTTATAAACAAAGACAGGGTTTGGGGAGGTGAGCCAGGACTGTGCAGCCAGCAGCACTGCGAGAGCCAGTATTTATTTCTCCAGCACGGTTAGAAGTTAAATATGGTCAAAACATATTCTTCTTTTTAATTTACACAAACAAATATGTTCCCAGGCTGACACCTCCGATGCCAAGTTTCTAGGGGAAACGAAATTCTGCTGTGAGATCGTAAACCACTAGAGAGAGAGGGATGGGAATGGAGAAGCCACGGCGCGTTGGCTGTCCACGCCCAGAACCCGGCTGAGCCGCTGAGAGGTGTCTCTGTCTCGGTTGCAGATGGACCTGCCAGAAATCTCAGCCCGAGGAACCGTGCGGGCGTGTCAAGGCCAGAGGATGGAAGAGACTCGGGTTCTGATAAAAGGAGACCTGCTTGGCTTGGCATCTGCTCTCCTGCCCATCAGGAGGCTGCAACGCTGTTTCCAGAGCCGCCTGATGAATCAGGGGGGAGAGAGGCACAAGGACACCGTGAGTGGCCTTTCAGGGCTTGGGCTGATGTAAACCCCAAACAACTTGAACCGGAGCCAAGGGAGGGGATTAAAGCAACATGTTATTTGATGGAGTGATTGCTTAATTTATTGAGCTGCGGCGAGGGCTGCAGTGAAACAGAGCCCTTGTAACCGATCACCTCCTGCTGCAATTGGACTTCTGCAACTCAGGGCTGCTTTCCAAGAGTTTTTCTGGAACAGCTTGGGATCTTTAGCCTCTGTGGTGGGGTGCTTCTGAGCCCTCATTTATCCAGGCACGCTTTATTTATTTATTTTTTTTAAGAGTGGCAGGGCTGACGTTAATAAAGAAAATAAGCAGTGTTTTACGGACTGCCTCGTGTGCACCAGGCACTTTATATACATTATCTCTAATCCCCACCATTTCCCGGTGAAATGACCCTTCATCATTCCCTGTGTGACCGTAGGAAGCCGGGGGACGGGAGGTGATTTTTCGAGAGCGGCCTGGGTCCAAGACGGTAGCTGCTAGCCACTGGCATAAATTAGATATTTAAAAATATATGTAAAAATTCACTGGTTGGGGGATACTAGCAACAAGTTCAAGTGCCCGGTAGTCCTGTGTGGTCGGTGGCCACCACGCCGAACAGTGCATAGTTAGATCATGTGGGTGATGGTAGGAACTTCTGTTGCTCAGCTGGTCCAGGGATCTCAGAGCCTGAAACGGGCAGCCTCAGAATTCAAACTGAAGCTAATGGGCTTCCACCGCGGAGCTGGCCTACTGTCCACTTTGCTGAGAAGCAAGGACTACCACAGTGACCCTCAGCCCAGCTGCACGTTAGGATTACCTGGACTTCATTTAAAAATATATATCTTGGATGGCTGGGGTTGTGTGAGGCACTGGGTTCGATCCTCAGCCCCACATAGAAATAAATAAACAAAGATATTATGTCCATCTACAACTAAAAAAAAATTTAAAATATATATATTTTTGTATTATAGGGTTCCAGCCCCGGAGATTCTGTCCTGTGATTTATGGGGACAGGGACTGGCATCGGAAGGTTTTATGATTGCACATGAGACTCCAGTGTGCAGCCAGGAAGGAAACCGGCTCGATGGGAGGATCCGCACTCGGGATGTTGGAAGGGGCTGCGTGGTCTCTTGGGGACCAGGACGTGGGCTTCTCCCAGAGCAGCCTCGGGGGAGAACCGAGGCTCACGCCCCTGGGAGACTCCAGGGCTTCCTCACACGCTCCCAGCTTGATGGGAGACACAGTGGGGGGCTTTGCTTTTAGACACCAGACTTGATCACGTGTCCCTGTGGGATCACAGAGCCGAGGTGAAGACCTGTGGCTTGAACTGGAACCTCTCATGAGGCTTACGGACAGGAGCGTGTGTTTGCTGGCTCCCTCCACGGAGAAGTGAGACCGAGCGGCTCCTTGTGTGTGCAGGGAGCACCCTGTCACCCGGGGTTACGGGCTCTAAACACCACTGTCCATTAGAACTCGGGGCTCCGTGGAGAAGCGGCCAGTTCCCAGATCTGCGTGCGGCAAGAGATGTTGCAGGGGAACTGGGAACGTCTTGTCATTGGGAAGCAAGGCGGGTGTCGGTGACTCCTGGGGTCAAATCCACGAGGATACGGGAGACCACACGAAGAGGCTTGGCCGAAAGGGACAGCTTGAACATCCACAAGAGTCGTCACCGCAGAGTGGTGCTGGGGGCTGACGTCATGGAGAAAGCTAACCAGAGTTCGGGCCCTGAATGAATGGAATCCAAAATAGCGAGACTAGGAAACAGAGAGAAGTCAAACAGGGGTCTAAGTGAGCTTCCAGCTCTACCAACTTACAAGAAGCACGGGACAGAGAAGATCCTTCAGGGGGCGCACCAAGCAAAATCCAGACCCCCCAGAAGCTCCACAAAACCCTGTTGCTTCAACAAAAAAAATTACAAGGGAAGACATGGAGAGGGGAAGGACACACACCAGCCAATGGGGACAGTTTCCATGAAGACTTAGTTTCTCAATATCCTCCAAATCTATGAGCTCCATTTGGATCCCGATTGGACCCAACTATAAAGAAAACATCGACGAGACAACTAGAGAAACTGGAATCCTGATCGGATATTTGCTGATATTAAAAACATCCCTGTCGCGGGGGCGCCGTGGCGCATGCCCGTCATCCCAGCAGCTCGGGAGGCCGAGGCAGGAGGATCATGAGTTCAAAGCCAGCCTCGGCAATTTAGCTAAGTCCCTGAGCAACTTAGCCCAGACCCTGTCTCAAAATAAAATTATAAAAAAGGGCTGGGAATGTGGCGGCTCCGGGATTAAGTGCCCCTGGGTTCAATCCCCAGTACCAAAAAAAAAAAAAAAAAATCACTGTTGGCCTGGGGACGTAGGTCAGTAAAAAGTTACTGTTTATAGGAGTGGAGGAGGTAAAAAGAAATTTTTTTCTTGGGAGTCATATACAGAAATATTTGCAAAAGAAATAACCAACGTCAGGAATTTGTTTCAAAATAGTCTGGGAGGAGAGAAGGGGAGGAGGGGAGGGAGGTGTCCGTGGCTGAGGGCTGGCGATTGCCGTGGCTGGGCTCCTGACTCCTGACCACACACTCTGTCCCTCGCCCCGTGTGTGCAAGAAGCTTTTCAAAATAAAAAGGAAAAAATAAGGAAAACTAGCCTTTTCCTGCCCTTCTCTCAAAAGGATCAGGTTGATCGGCCACCCGGGGCCTGCATCCCTGGGGCCAGCCTGGGCAGCAAGCTCAGTATACACATCTTGAAGCAGCCCACCCCCCGTCTCCATGGCAACCAGCATCCAGAAGCCTCCCACCCCCAAGAGGGTCAGGCCAGGCTGCCAGGGTCACGCCGCTGCTCCTCCCTTGGGAGAGTCCCCTAGATGGGTCTTCGACCAGAGCGGCCTCTCGGCACCCTGTCCCCCTTCCTCTTGCTGCCTCTGTGCAGCCCCTGAAGGAGGAGAGGACAGTTAGCGGGAAGAAGAGACCCTGAATCAGATCCAGGTTCAAATGCTGACCTTCGGGTTCCTCATCTGTAAAGTGGGTGTAACGGTCCCTCCACGAACTCAGCAGATCTTTGCAAAGGAAGATCCACGGCAAAGGGAGCTGGGGGGAGGATCCAGCTCTACCTGGTGGAACCCGGCAGACCCTCCAGAATGAAGGGTGATCTCAGTACCGCGGAAAAGTCAGGATCAAATTGAGAGGCAGGGGTGACCCCATCGAAGGTCAGGTCCCAGTTTTCGAATCAAACTGGCAGTCGCCCTTGGAGAGCCTGACTCGGAGCCCACCTTCCATGAGCCAAAGTCACCACCCCTCCAGCTACTCATCACCTCGCTACCGCAAACACTGGAAGAACTTCGCTTGGTGCCTCCATTTCCATGGGGCAAGGACCACCTCTGGAGGGAGCAGTGGGCTTGGAGAAGAGAGGTCGCCCACCCAGGCCACACTCTTGGTACACGGCCCCCGTCTCTTATGCTCTGGGGTCTGTGTCCTGATTACGCGTTGCAGTTCAGTAACAGCAGAAAATCAGTGCTACGAGGAAGCCGGCTTCATTTTGCAAAGGAACAAAGTAGCCCAGAGAGGCCAAGTCATATGTCTGAGGCCACACAGTGAACGAGCAGCTAAGCCCATGTCCAGGCTCCTTGGGGACAAGTGCAGGGAAGCCCCACACAGTGGGGGAAGCCAACTCTTAACTGCCCCGTTTGATCCTGTCCCAGAGTAGGGTGACCAGCTGTGCCAGTTTGCTCGGAACTGCTGAGCTTGGGACTGGGGACTTTCCGGGCTAAATCAGGAAGGTCCTGGCCATCGCCCCACCTGTGGGGTGCAACGGCCTCACTCACACTCCCTTCCACAGAGGGGAGGCATCTAAATGCAGGAAACAAGGGTCTGGGATGCAGCCAGCTAAGGAGAGCCAGGGAGACCTCACAGAGGGTTAGGGGCTCCATGCTGCTGGTACCCTGCGACCGACCACCCACATCATGAGAGGCTTCAGCACCTTTCTTAGGTCCCCTCCCATCTGTCCTGCCCCCAGTAGCCAGTGTCCTTTATATGCTGCAATCGGATGACCCTCTGCCTCGGTTTACAAACCTTGGTGGCTCCCCATTGAGATTTTTCTTTTGCTTGGGAAGCTTTGCAGGTGCAGGAACCCCTGGGTGGGCTTGTCCCTGACCACCTGTCGGAACCTCCCTCTGGAACCAACCTGGCCCTTACAAGATTCCAAGCAGGGTCAGGCTCACCTAAGACGCATTAGCGACACCCTCCCTCTCCCCAGGACTCCCCCACCCCACCCCACCTCTTCTCTTCCAAGATACCAGCCTAACTGGGATCACAGGCTGATGGACCTAATCGACTCTTAATATCAAGTCTCCCCTTCTGGCCCGACCTCCACCTGAGATCACAGAAAGCCACCGAGACCCCCTGTTCTCAATTTCAGGCAGGTCTGCATGATGTCACAGGATGGAAGATCATCCCCCCCAAATGACCGGTGGCAGCCTGGATCAGGGGTATTTTTTGTTGTTGTTAATTAGTGTCCCTCTTCTGCCCACTCCTTAGCTCTGTTCACATCCCTCACCTGGCACTAGCTTAGGAAAAAAAAAAAAAATCCAGGCAAAAAAAAAAAAAAATAGGAGCCCAAGTTCAAGATGGCTGGCTGGTTCCTGCTCTGCTGGTAATTAACATGGAAAAACGTTCGTTCCTCGTCTTGGCCACAAAGGTAATAATATGAAGGCTCAGCCTGATGACTTGGCTGCTAATTCCCTTCTTGATGTTTTTCTTCCCCTTTCCTTAAATTAATTCCAGAGTTCTTCCAGATTCCTCGTTGCTGAGCTGTAAAGTTCCAGGCTCTGCAGTGTGGCTGCTTACTGGCCGAGAGTTCCTGGGCAGCTCCAGTCGGAACCGGGCTGCAGGAAGGAGTGTCCAGCTCCCTGCCTCCCCGGGGGGTTTCAGAACGTTCTGGGTGATGTCGTGAACCACACGAGTCTCTGTCTAACTCTGCAGAACCTGTTTTCTTGAGGAGAGATGCCACAGGTCCTGAAATTCCCCAGGGAACGGGGAGTGTCCAGGTCTTAACAGGGGCGATGGGGACCTGTCTGTGGATGACCGTTGGGACCTCCCACCGGGGGGCAGGCCTCAGTCTCCTCAGGACTGACCTCTCATGTCCACTTCCCGTGCCGGCCTGTTTGAGGTGAAGGAAAACTTCACGCCACTGAACTTGGCGTCGCTGGGGGGAAGGCTACATTTCAAAAGGACTTTGAAGGTCCTGGGCTCATGCCATTGTCCTCCTAAGTGGCTGGAACTACGGGCTCTAAAGGACTTTAAAATGTAGATGGAGGTGACACAATTCAGGTGTGTCACCTCCAGAATTTCAAATGAGAAACCACCACCATAAACTGAATCCCTACTGTGTGCCAGTAGGAGTATTCTCAGCACTTCCCATCCTGAAACCCCAGGGGACAGATGGGGGCCCTGATGCAGGGCGGCTTCCATCTTTCAGGAAGAAGGAAGTCACAGGAACCAGACCTGGACACACTGATTGGCTCTTGGCGGAGCACATGACCCAGGTGGGCCAATGGGAGTTTTCCTTGAGACTTTTCTGCCCCAGCTGTAGAAAAAGACCCTCTGCATATATGCACACTCAGGGTTCTCAGAATCACCCTGGGGGGGGGGGTGTTCCCTTTTACAGATGGGGAAGCTGAGGCTCGGGAGGGGATAAGGGAGACTGGTAAAACTGTCACCGTGTATGCTCAGAGGTTCAAACCCGGGCTGTCTTGGTGGCCCCTCAAATTCAGCTCGTCCAAAACGGAATTCAAGATTCTCCCCCACCACCTGGTTTCCCTCTGGGGTCCCCAGCTGTCAGTCCACTGGTGCCATCCCTGTCCCTCTAAGCCAGGTGCCATCCCTGTCCCTATCTCCATATCCAGCCTCACCAAGCCCAGTGGGGGCTCCTCAGCAGCCCTGGACGCAGCTCGCTTCTCTCTCCGTCCACACCACCCTCTTTCTCCTTGGCCTTCTAGACTGGCCTCCCTGCTGGTTCTCCTGAGCCTACACCTGCCCCCCCACCCCCCCAGCTTCCTGGGCATCCAGAGGGGACGGTCTCACAAGCCAGTCTGGTCACACTGCCTTGCTGGGGGCATCTGGGTCTCAGGACGTCGGGACACGCATTCCTACCTGGAGAGGTCATGAGGAGGAGACGACCTTTGGTGCTACCTGGCCTGAGGTCCCGAGGATGAAGAGGGACACAGCTCCCCGCACCCTCAGCCATCCCATCACTTGTTCACTAGTACCTGCTGGGGTCTCCCCCGCACTCTCCCCTGAGCTGGGGCTCCGGGGACGACCGGGAGTAACGACAGGCAGGAAAGCTCAACGTTGTGCAAGGCTTGGGGAGCCGTGCCTTGTGCCTGGCACCCCATGCCGTCAGCGGCCCGAGAAAGCAGAGCTGCTGGTTAACCCATCGCAAAGACAAAGAGAAAAAGGCCTCTATTCTCATAAAAGCTTATATTTCTAGAGAGGGAGGTCAACAGCAACAACCACACACACACACACACACACACACACCATGATTCAGAGAGCAGGATGACCCAGGGGGATCCTGGACTTGTGAGTCCCGAGGATTCCAGATGCTTCCAACCTGATTCAGATCTGTTAACATGTGCAAAGCAAGGATGCAAACGAGGCTTATGCACAGGTGTCTGTGTGCTTAAAAGCGACACACGGAGCCACACACTGTGCTCCCTCTCTGACAAACACCTCCACCACAACACGGAAGGCCGCGTCTCAGTGGAACGTTCCACAGAGCAGCCTCTCCCCTCCTTCCCTTCCCCCCAGCCCGTTGGCGTTGGGCACAGAGGCAGGCAGCCCTGCCCCGAAGGTCTTGGCGCATGTCATCAAGTTCAGACGAGGTCACACTGGACTCGGGTGGGCTCTACATCTGATGACTCGTGTCCTTTGAAGAAGAGGAGAGGTCCCCCGGAGACATACACAAAGAAACTGACCGTACGGTGACACGGGCAAAGGTGGGAATGTCGCAGCCACCAGCCAGAGGACACCAAGGTCTGGCTTGTCCACCGTGGGAGGCCAGGAGCCGCGAGGGCAGCAAGCCCCGCCCACCCCTGAGCTTCCAGCCCCCAGAAGAGTGACAGGGGATGTGTTCCTGTTGTGGTCCACGCCTGGGTTTGCTCGGGACCTAGCACGCCTCTCCTCCTGGTCCCCGTCTCTCCCCTCTCCATGCCCAGAGCTGGGCTGCTGCAGGAAAACATGTCACTAGCCAGTGGAACACCCCACCTCCTCACAGCTCTCCTGGCCGACCCTGAGCACAGTGCCCTCCAAAGCCTCCTTGCCTGGAAGATGACCTCCACTCCCACCATGGTGGCCTGGGGACAGCTCTCAGTCCCACCACGGTGGCCTGGGGACAGCTGTCACTCCAGGGGGTATGGAGCAGGACCTGGGAAGAGGTAGGCTCTGCTTTGGAGGGGCCGGAAGGGGAGGCCTTCTGCTGCTCCCCTCTCCTGGGAGAGCTGGGCTGTGGCTGTCACATTCGGTTCCTTTAAATCAAGGGTGCAGAGGGGCAGCCGTGCATGTGTGTGCGTGTGTGTGTGTGTGTGTGTGTGTGAGTGTGTGTGAGAGAGAGAGAGCGAGTGAGCGCACACTTACTTGTATAACTTCTCACACACAAAGTCGGCAGAACTGCATGGCCCTCGCCCTCCCACCCTCTTCCCAAATACAGATGATGAAAAGGTCAATTGAGCAACAGGTCAGGTCTCTTTGGAAATCAAGGTGTTTGAACTCAACAGAAAACAGGCTGCTGTTTATTCTCAATCCCAGGAAATGAAATGACTTACCGGATCAATCAGGGGGACAATATGTTGTTTGAACATCAAAAGCCATCCACTGGCCAGCCGCCCGAGGATGACCAAGCTCCCACCGTAATTCCTGTGATAGTAACCGTGGTTCCTGCTCACAGGGTATTTTCTAAGGGACAGGGACATGCGAAGCACTCTGGACGGGCGGTCAGTTTAATTTCCACAGGGTCCTAGGAAATAGATGCCCTGAGACCCAGGTCACAGGGGGCAAGCAAGGCACAGGGGGGTGAAGACTTCCCAGGCTACCACGGGAGATCCAATATGGCCAGGAATTCCCAACGCTCTGCCCACGTGGAGGGGGAGTCTCTCTCCAGCTGTCCTTCTGACTTACTTTGACTACAGTCATGTTCCAGAAGCTTCTATGTTGGTGACTTGGAATATTCCCCCAGTTCGGCTTGGTAAGAAGAAGCTGGCCCTGTGTACCATTACTGAAAGATGAGAACTGAGGCCACCCAGCCAAGAACTGCAGCCAGTGGTCACACCAAAATGGGGGAAGAAAGCCACTGTGGTCCCTCCAGCTCTGCTGGTCCTCCAGCCGGCCATGAGCTGTGAGCAAGGCCAGATACAGACAGCAATGGTGCCATCCAGCCCACCCTGAGGATCATGAAAAAATCACATTCCGTTATTTTAAGCTACTACATTTTGGTGATTGCTCGTTACGCGGCAGAGGCTAACAGATACATCCAGAGGCCAGGGAGGGATTCTAACCCTGGTCACCCATTTCTAGAATCTGGGCTTCTCCGAGGCAGAGACTGTAGCCACCGAGCTGAAGAGGACACAGCCCCTTTCCTCTCCAGGGAAAGAGATACCCACGAATACCAAGCACCTGCAGGGTCACCCAGGTGCCGAGAGGCGTGTCTCAAGCTGGGCTCCCGGGACTCGGATCTACGTGTTTCCATTTAGAGGGACCACTGCTGCCCACCTACCATGTGACAGTCACTGTACCAGGTGTTGGCAGTGAGCGCCAGGCACCGTGGGCTCTGATCTCAAGAAGCCTGAAATTTAGCAGATGGACCCAAGGAAGCCACGACCAAGCAACGTCCAAAATGGTGAGGAGCACCGAGAGAGACACCAGGAAGACGGAGGGAAGAGCGGGGTGGGGTCACGGTCGACCGAGTGACCGGGACGGATTTCTCCAGGAGGGCAAGGTTTAAGCCAGCTCCACAAGGAAGAGGCAGAGTTGCAAGAAAATAACCCGGATGAAAGGAGCCACGTCGGGAAAGGCCCTGGGGAAGCTCAAAGATGGAGCTCAAAGCTTCACGGCTGGAGCTGAGAGATGGAGGAGGAGGTGGCTTCAGGCACAGATGGAGGACAGGCTGGACTAGGCCCTCGGTGCTGGGCTTGGAGGCCACAGGGGTCATTGGACATTTTCTCTGGTGTTCTGGAAGAGTGGTGGGAAGTGTTGGCCAGAAGAGGAGCATGATCTTATTTAAATGTCAATGGATTCCTCTGTTGGGCGGGGAACAGATTATAAAGGGGGGTAAGGAAGGAAGGACGTTGGGGCGGAGATGCCAGGTGGCATGGACCAGGGCGGGGGAGGGTTGAGAACTTCACGGATTTGGTACGTGTGGGAGTAAGAGTTGCTGGGTGCAGTAACTGGCCATCCAGCTACTCAGACCGTGGCGCACGCCTGTCATCCCAGTGGCTCGGGAGGCTGAGGCAGGAGGATGGCGAGTTCAAAGCCAGCCTCAGCCAAAGCGAGGCGCTAAGCAACTCAGTGAGGCCCTGTCTCTAAATAAAACGCAAAGTAGGGCTGGGGACGTGGCTCAGCGGTTGAGTGTCCCAGAGTTCAATCCACGCCCCCCCCATGACCAAAAAAAGATGGAGTGAGAGTGGGCAGTAGCCTGATCTCCTCCAGAAGGAGGATGGGGTGGTGAGCGTCACCTGGGTTGTGCAGATCCCAGGAAGCCGGGGGCAGGGGGGACAAGACAGGAATCCAGGAGGGGACTGGTCCAGAGCAGGTCACCTCTGAGGGCAGCTGGTGGTCAGTCCCACGGGGGAACTTCAGGAGACCGTGCTCCCAGCTGAGGGGCGCGGGAGCTGGGTGTCTACACACCGGATCTCCCCGTCAGTCAGCCGTGAAGGCTGCTCCCAGACAGCTGGCCTCCCAGGACTCTCACTTCCCACCCGATAGGGCCGGGCGGGCTCCAGGAACCAGGGAACATCTGGAGGCAGAGAACCAGGTCCAGGACGCTGAAGCAGGACAGGTGGACGGGAGGCCTCCAGGTCACAGCCAGAACCTGCCTCCGTGAGCAACGCGCCCCGGACTCCTGCTCTGAGCAGCAGCGGTTCCAGGTTCACGGAGTCCCCAACATGTGACACGTGGCTTCACCTTCCCCCTCCAGTGACTCTCCTCCTCCCCGAGAGCCCTGACGCCGCCAGCTTCATTCCCCAAACCTGCTTCCCTCCGCTCCCTGGCTCCACCGTCCACCCAACTCCTCAGACCAAACTCCCGGGGGGCTGCCGTGGGAGGCCTTTCTCGGTTCAAGCTCTAAAAGGTTCTGAATTCAACCAGGTCTCCCTCCTCCAGTGCCCACCCCTCACCTGGGCCACACCTCACCTCCCGCCCTTGAGGTTCAACAGCCCTTGGGCGTTGGGAGGGTGGCCTGCTCCGGTGGCTAATGGGGCGAATGCCTTCCTTACCCGGGTTCCCCAGGAGCTCACTCTTTTTGGACTGGGCCAGTTACCTCGAGAGCAGGTTGATGCTCAAGACCACTCCTCCTTCTTTCCTCCTTTTACCTGCGCCTGTTTGTGCTCCTACCTTCTGCCGTGAGTTAAAGAAGCAGGTGGCCTTGTCCAGGACCATGCACTCGGACCTCCCTGCCTTTAGGACTGTGAGTCAAAAGAAACCTCTTTTCTATTATACATCTCCCGGTCTCAGGTATTCTGTTATAGCAACAGAAAACAGACTCAGATAGCCTCCTTGGTCCAGAAGCCAAAGTGATCTTTTTTTTTTAAAAATGTTTATTTATTTATTTTTTAGTTGTAGTTGCATACAATACCTTTATTTATATGTGGTGCTGAGGATTGAACCCAGGGCCCTGCACATGCCAGGCGAGTGCTCTACCACTGAGCCACGACTTCAGCCCCCCCAAAGTGATCTTTTATGGAAAACGAGGCCACATCATTCTGCTTTTTCCAACCCCAACCCCTGACAATCAATTCCCTATAGCTCATTTCTTTTTTTTTTTAAATATATATGTATTTTTAGTTGTAATTGAACACAATATCTTTATTTCATTTATTTAAAAAGAAAAAAATGGGGCTAAGGACTAAACCCAGTGCCTCACACATACTAGGCGAGCACTCTATCACGGAGCCCCAGCCAGCCCCAGCCCCTCCCTATAGCTCATTTCTGCTCCCTCATAGTCTGTTCCTCACACTCATTCAGCTCTTTCCTGCCCCAGGGCCTTTGCATGCACTGTTCCTTTTGTCTGGAGCCTGGTTTCCCCCAGAGCTTGCGAGGTCAACTCCTCTCATCATCGATGGCTCAACTCAAATGCCAATTTCTTCCTTCCTTGGTTCACATGATGGTTTTTGCTCCCTCTCCCCCAAATGCACACTCCATGAGGTCGGGGCTCCCCCCCTCACCACCACACACCAAAGGCAGGGTGTGCAACGTGCCCAGGGTGCCGCAAGCACTCACAGAGCGTTTGTTGAGTGGACTATGGCAGTGGTAACAAATGCCATATTCCCCCACGTGACTCGGAGCCTCGGGTAGATATTTCCAGCCCCTCTCCACGTTTGCCCTGTACCATGGCTGCATTTGAGGGTGAGCGGGTCGGCTCTCTGCACACCCCAGCGAGCCCCCTGCCCCCTTCGTGCCGTAAACATCAGGACCATTTGCTGAGAGTCTGGAGAGAAACGGAACCTGGCAACTGTCACCAGAGCCGAGCCACGTCCCTGCCCCTCCCAGAGCTGCCTCCAGTTGGCACCGGTCTCCTTGGCCACGTCCTGGGCTCTGGGACCCTGAGGCGGCTCTGGGAGTCGGGAGCGGGAAGCGCTGCCTTCCAGATCTCCGTTTCTGACCCAGACCCACATCTGGAAGCTCCTCTCTGGGGGAGAGGCGGGGATTGGTGGGGACTTTGCCGGCCTTTCTCCTCCAGGCCAGCTGAGCGCTGAGTCGGGAAACGCAAACCTCGGCCAGACGTGAGCAGCCCTTCCCTTTGCTCTGGGGACTAGAGGCAGGCAGCCTGGCTCAGCCATCACTGCAGAGGTGGGTGCCCCCGAGACAGCCGAGGCTCCTCCAGACGGGGCCCCATGTGTGGCACCCCACCCCCACCCCACTCACTGCATGGCCACCGACTCATGTGACATAAGATTCCTCCCTCTCTGTCCCCAGATGCCCGCTGTGATGCTGGCCAGCTGTGCCCCCTCCCACCCCAGCAAGTCACTCGACCTCTCTGAGCCCTGGTCTCCTGGGGTGATAAGCCAGAGGCCCCGCCTGGTGCTCACGGCTGCTTGCAGGAGCCCAGCGGCTCCAGGCACAAAGGACGCTCTGACAAGACACAGGCAGCCTCTCCCGCCGTTAGCCCAGAGCCCAGCTCGGGACGTTTCTAAAAATATGTTTTATTGGATTTTTCCTTCTGAGCCCCAGAAGCGATATCTATGTCCCTCCCAACAAGCCCATCAGCAGGGAGGTGAGCGGAGAAAACGCAGCCCCCTCCCCTCCTGGGACCTCAGGGGCTCCCTGGCCCTTCCCTGTCCCCAGCTCCCCCCCCCCAGGAGGTGGCAGTGCCAGGCGGCCCTCCGCGAGCGCGTGGCTCACATGGCACAGAAACCGGCCGATTCCACAGGCAGCTTCCGGGGGCTACAGCACGGAGAGGTCCACGTTGCCCCTGGGCCATGAACCTCGGCACACCCCCAGCCGATGGACGGTGGCTGTTCCCAGCCCTCCTCTAGCCAGCAGCACCGCCCTGGCCCCGTCCACCCTGTCCTCCAGGAGAGTCCCACAGCGTGTTTCTGGGTCAGAGGGACAGTTCCACTTTGTATTTTTTAATAGAAACGTGCTGCCCGGTGAGTGAGTGTTGAGTGACTGGATGATCCCGGGAGGCCCGGAATTCTCTGCCACCTCTGTCAGTCTCCCAATGGCCTCCACGGCAGGCGGGACACTGGACGGAATGACAGGAGCACGTTCCACCCGCTGGGAGGGAGAGGAGCACCCAGAGAAGACGGTGACCCAACAGCACTGGGGGGCCTGGAGCTGGCCCTGGATCTGGGTGTCCACGGGGCACTCACTTCCTGACACTGGTCCCATGGTTGGCTCCCGAGCTGGGCACACTAACAAAGACACATGTCACCCTTGTCCCTTGCCAATGCCCCAAAGGGACAGGGGTGGGTCCAGCAGCACAGGTGATACCAGGAAATCTCAGTGTCCACGTCTGCAGAGTGAGGAGGGTAGGAATGTCGCCTGCTGAGATTTGCTCTGAGGACGAAGCTGAAGAAGAGGAGGTGGCCACGGAGCTCCGGCGCCACAGGTTCCCAAAGCTCCGCCCCCCCGCCATCTTCCTGTGGGCCATCAGGTGGGCCCTTGGGCTCCCTGCCGTCCTCCACCCCATCTTAGCAACCCACCCCGGGGTCATGCCTCTTCCTATCGCCCATGACTCCATCCGGCCCCCGTTCCGAGCCCGTCCTGGCCCACGGCCACACCCCAGCTCTCTAGCCCCCCGCGCTCACTGCCAGGTCCTTGGCCACCAAACCCGTGGCCAACACGGAGCAGACCCACATCGAATACGCGCCGGATGGTGAGTGAACAGGTGAGCAGAGTTTCGGTCGCTGCTACTGATAAGTCACGGCCCCCTCGTCCCACCAGGCGCGTGCTCCGGTGGGATCTGGAGGAGGGAGGAGCCCATCAGGAAGGGGCAGGTCTGCGGGGGCTTCCTGGAGCAGCCAGGCCACATCCGTAAGGCCCTCGCCTAGTAGGTGCTCCGGGGCTCCCCTACTCCATGCCCCGGCTAGTCCAAGACCCAGGAGATGCTGGGGGGCGAGTCACCCGGCCGCCTGGGTAGCCCAGGGAGAAGCAGGGACGGGGGCCAGCCCTGTGGACCCAGGCCTCAGAGTCAGTCGGCGGGGGACGGGCTCCAGGTGATACGGAAGCATGTGACCCCGACAGGCCAGACCCCAGTCAAAGCCAGGCGCACTGTGGCCCAGGGACCCCGACCGGGCGGAGCCTCAGCTCTTTGGGTCACAGGCGTCCTGGGGTGTGCCAGAGGGTCTGGAACGGCGGTCCCCAGGCTGTTGGCGGGTGGGAAGGACACGGCAAGACACAGCCGGCAGGGGGAACAGCTGGGACAGGGGCTGCGTGGCAGGTGAGCCGGGTCCGGGGGACACCCAGGCCTGCCCGCTCCGGCTCCTGGGCCGGGGGTCCTCCCTAGTCAGGGCTCGGAACTGTCTCTGAGCCGCCCCCGGCACCGTGTCGGGGTCAGCCGTGCCTGCCCTGGGTGAAGAGCGGGCACAGCTGAGCTCTGGGACCTGAGGCCCCCCTGAGGGGACCCTGAGAGTCTCCAGCTGCCTCTTAGGGGCTTGGAGGGGACCCTGGAGGGACGTCACCCACGGTGAGGTGACAGGGCCCTGCCTAGCGCCCGTGGCTGCTGACATCCCCGACGGCTCCGTCTCACGGCAGATGGTGCGGGAAGGAGGCCGGAGGGGCTGGAGGGGCCGACCCTCGGCCCTGCCCAGGAGCAGCTGACCCTTCCTCCTGGGGTGGAGCCTGCATGGGGCCTGGGGGGACCCCCGCGGGGAACTTCGTGGGAAGGGGCTCTCATTTCAAGCACCCAGGGGCGGGTGGGGGGAGGCTGACCCCCAGAGCACCGTCCACAGCAGCCTGCTCCTCCCGGCTTCACGGCTTCACGGCCCCACACCTCTCCCTGCCTCTCAGGCCGACTAAAGCCCCCACTCCTGGCCACCAGTGCCATCCTTTACAAAGATGCCCCCCGCCCCCTCCCCGGAGCCGGCTCCTCCAGGCTGCACAGGCTCAGGGTCCCCCTCCCTCGGCCCCAGCCATCTCCTGAGCTCCCAGGGGACCCCACCGACCACTGCTCCTCTCTTCAGTGTCACCCAGCAGTTCCTTCCCAGTGCTGTGCCCCCCCACACACGCTGAGCGCCCCCTCCCCACCCCGCCAGGAGGCTCAGCTTCCAGAGTGCCTTGTCCCTGCTCTGTCCCTACCTTGGCACATGTCTGGTATGCAGTTGGTGCTCAGTATTTACCATAACCAGAAGGGAAAAACACCCCGAGGTCGCCTTGAGGACAAGGCCAGCGGCTAGGCTCCTCCAGGTCACCAGGTCCTGCGTCTCCATGCGGTGACACAACAGGGTGACACAACTCCCTTTGCGCACATCTCAGCCGGGGCCTTGAACCTCCGGGAGGCTGCTGCTCCTGCCTCCCCCAGAGGCAGGGCCGTGACCCTGGGGAAGAGGAGGCAGCAGCTTGGGGGGGTCACATGGGCTTCCATCAGGCAGCCAAGGCCACCCCAGCGCAGCCACAGGCCAGGAGAAACCAGGAGCCCCAGGGAACAGCCACCTTCTCCTGGGTTCTGTCACTTCTGGGAGGTGACTTTGGCCCACCGCCCACAGGTAGAGCTCCAGCCCCCAAAAGAGACCTGCAGGCCCCGCTGGAGCCAGTCCCCTGGTCCCCTGGTCCCCTGGTGAGATACACCGGCCGTACCTGACGCCTCATTCATTCAACCATTTACTAACTAAGAACCTACTGTGTGCCAGCGCTGTGCCAGGTCAGGGGGCTGTGGGGCAGCCGATGGGGCCCTGCCCTCCAGTTCTCACGGCACCCCAAGAATGCCCTCATCCTAACCCCAGGAACCTGTGAACACCGCCCCTTCCCCCCTTACCGAGGCAGAACGTGAGTAAGGCAGGGATTTGGGGATATGATTGCACTGAACATCTCAGAGGGTCCAGTGTCATCCCAGGGTCCTGGGAGGGAGGGAGGGAGGAGGGTCAGAGCGAGGAAAGAGGAGGACAGAGGAGGACAGAGGCAGAGGCAGAATGGACAGCTTGCTGCTGGTTTTACAAGTGGAACCAGGGGCCCGGAACCCAGGAGGTGGCTGACCCGAGAGGCCAGGGACGGCGAGGAAGAGGCCCGCCCGGAGCCCGCAGGAGGGAGGCAGCCTGGCCGGCCTAATTTAGGTTTCTGACCCCGAACCGTGAGATAATAAATATGCCAAACGTTGCGTTAAACTAGGAATTTACTGCCAATGTGTGGCAGCAGCCATCGGAAACGAGCGTCAGTTTCTAGCAGGATGGGGTGACCCTCAAATCCTGCCAGGATCAGCTATGGGACTTACTGGGACAAATTTTAAAAATTAAAATAAATTTTTAAAATAGATAATGATTTCTATTTATGTATTTGTTTTAATTAGGTATATACGACAGCCAAATGCATTGGGGATTGGTTGTCCACAACCGCGGCACAGCTTTCCATTTCTCTGGCTGCACACGAGGTAGTGCTGCACCCTATATCTTACCTGTATCTGGGGTAACGACGTCCATCTCATTCCACCATCTTTCCTGCCCCCATGCCCCCTCCCCACCCTCCCTCCCTTTGGCCCTATCAAAGATCCTCCATTTTTCCCATGCCTCCCCCTCTTCCCTGTTTTGGATCAGCACCCACCTATCAGAGAGAGAGAAAAATAAAAAAAAAACACTTACTGGGGAGCCCAGTACCAATGATAATGCAGCTTCTCTTGTTCAAATATTAAGAATTTAGAAACAGCAACAGCCCTTCTGCCAAGGGCAGGCCTCTCTGAACACAGCCACCACGGACAGACAGCTGCACAGGTTGCACACCCACCAAGCCATTCCCAGACCCCACCCAGGACACAGTGATGACAAGGTGGCATCGGGGAAGGCAGCGAGAGCAGAGGGGGCCCAGAAAGTGTGTGGCAATCCGTGGAACCCAGTGTGGTTGGGGTGAAGTGGCATTGGCTCGTGCCAGGTGAACAGGAAGTCGCGGGGAAGGGCCTGCCCCTGCGTCCCCTCTCCTGGAGACAGCAGAACCCTCCTTGGAAAGTGTTTAAATGAGCTTTTTATTGGAGAATAAATTGAGATTTACAGGGGGGTCACAAATACGATTCAGAGTGTTCCCAGGTCCCTCTTCAGCCTCCCCAAGCCCGGCCCTCCCTAGCTCTGCCACGTAGAGGGGACCCGCAGACCCAGGAAGGGGAGCCAGGTCCTCGGCTCCAGGAGGTGCTCTGGTGACACCCGGAGAAGCCAGAGACCCTTGAGGGAGGCTATCTCCCCAAGACGCGCTTCCTGTCCCCAGGGGTTGGCGGGTGGGGAGCCAAATGGCGGGTTCAGGATGAAGTGCAGAGGGTGGCTCACAGAAGGACCGGTGTCCGCTCCCCAGGCGTGGCAGAGCTAGGGAGGGCTCATGAAGGGACGTGGGAACACCGCCCTGGACTGCATTTGGGACTCTCCTGTAAATCTAAGTTTATTCTCCAATAAAAACAACTTTTAAAACTTCCTAAGGGACAGACGTGAAGGGCTACAGTTGACCAGGGAAGCGGGGTTCTGAGGCCAGCTGGCGAAGTCACATCCAGGCCTCCAAGGTAACAGCTCCCCGTTCACTAGGCACCTACCCACCGTCTACCAGGAATTGCACACCTTGTCACCGAGGCCCTCACAAAATCGGTCCAGTTTATTATGCCCGTGTCGCAGACGAGGAAACAGAGGCTCAGAGAAGCTTGCAGGGCCTGCCCAGGGGCACACCAGGCGTGGGTGGCATCTGAACAGCTCCCTGCCGACTCCTGCCCCTGCTACCTCCTCACGCTCTCTCTAATCCAGTCTCTCCTCCAGATCACTGGAGCTGGGTGCTGGGTGGTCAGTTCACATTCACTGAAAACCCACCTCCACCCGGGCCCCAGAGAGCACCTGACAGTGTCTCCTTGGAGCCTGTGACCCACCCTCTGCACACGTGGGGTGAGTTTTCTCTGGTTTATAACTGAGGTTCAGAGAGGCGAGGCAGCTCACCTAAGGTCACACAGGCAGGAAGTGGTGGGACCTTGACGCCAGCCCAGGCCATCTGGACCCTGTGACCCACCCGGAGGCAGACAATTCAGAATGCTCAGGAAGCAGCTCTGGGGAGTCTGACCACCCCCGGAGCCCCTAGCAGAGGTGGCTTTGGGCAAATCTTCATGGGAAAATGAGTCTTCCCTCAAGAGGTAAATCAGGGGATGACATTGGACTTACAAAAGAATTCACCAGTGAGCCCTGTTAAAGATGGAAATGGGATTTTCTTTAGTCCTCTGGCTCTTTCTGAGCTGAGAGTCTGCTCCTGCTCACTGCCTCCAGGGCCGGTTATTCGAAAGCTCTGAGCAAGGAGAGCCCCAGAGCCAAACTCAGGCCACTGCCTCTCTTTTCCAATGCTAGTGACAACCACTACCAGCAGTCCCTCTCTCGCCCCAGAATCCCAGGTGTTGCGCACAGCGCTATCAACCATCACCACTTGTTACACAGATTTCTACAACTCTCCCGTCTTGCACAAC